CTCGGGAAAGGTCCCTCTAAACTAGACAGGCAGGGCCCGTGTGCCAGCCGTTCACTGCAAGAGGCTGGTGTGCGGGCCCTTGCACACGAAAGTCAGGATCGCAGATAAGGAGTGGTGTCTTTAGCACTAATCTCCAAGATGTGACACCTGTGGGACCCCAGAGTCGGCGGGCCACACTTGACCCAGTGTCTCCGGCCAGGCCCGGGGGATGCTACAGAACCGCGTGCTGCTGTGGAAGGAGCAGTCGGAGGCCAGCCGCAGCCCGTCGCGTGCCCACTCCCCGGGGCTGCTGGGCCCGACACTGGGGCCGCCCTACCCCTCGGGCCGCCTGACGCCCACCCGGCTGGACATGGTGAGGCCCTGGCCGCCCCCGCCGCCCTTCGCGCCCCCGCCGCCCTTCGCTGGGCCCTGGGCACCGCCGCCCTGCGCCTGGAGCCCGCCGCCCCTCGCGCCCCCGCTCTACGCTGCACCCCTCGCGCCCTGGCGCCGGGGGCTCGCCTCTGCACCCCCGTGGTGGCCCCACCGGGTCCCCAACCCTTACGCCGACGCTTGGGACTGGGGCTGGGGGCGGGGCTAGCGAGGCTCCGCCCCTCCCGCCCCACCCCCCTGCCCTCTCCCCTCGCAGCCCCCGAGGTCCCTGGGAGAGTATGGCTCCCCCCGCAGCCGGCAAGGCTCCAGCTCCTACGGCCCCGAGCCCGCCGAGGCGAGGTCCGCGTCCCAGTTGGAGCTAGATCGCCGATCACTGCCCCGGACACCGTCGGCCTGTGGGTACCCCGCGCACAGAGGTGCAGGGGGCGGGCCGGGAAGGGGCTGGGGCCGGGGCTGCAGCAGGAGGGAAGGAGGATGGACTGCTGGGAGAACTTCCACTCATCCCCGCAGCCTCGCTCTACGCCAGCAGCACCCAGCGCTCACGGTCCAATTCCTTCGGCGAGCGCCTGGGCGGCGCGGGTGCCAGGAGAGTCCGCGCCCTGGTCTCCCACTCGGAAGGTGCCAACCACACGCTGCTGCGCTTCTCGGCTGGAGACATCGTTGAGGTGCTGGTGCCCGAAGCTCAGAATGGCTGGCTCTACGGCAAGCTGGAAGGCTCGTCCGCGTGAGTGGAGCCCCAGGGTCTGCGCTCCACCGAGGTTTCCAGGCCTCCGACTCCCTTTTCTCCAATCTCCGCCCCGCCTCCGTCTACTCAGCCGCTCCGGGGGCTGAGAGAGCCGAGTAGGGACCTTGGAGAAGGGGGACAGATGGGATGGGCAGCGGGCTCTCAGAAAGGAGGGACTGGGCAAACCCCACTGCCTTCTGTGTGCCCCCCCCCCCCGCGTCCTCCTGTGCTGGAGCTGAGACGGAGGTGGAGGGAAAGCGCCCCCCCCCCCGCGCGCGCCCTGCAGGCACTGTACAGCTCACAGCCCCCAGGAACTTACACGGGCTGGTCTGCACCCCAGTGGGGAGTGGGGAGAGCCAGACACCCCTGAGTGTCCACACAAATGAGACTGGTGGCCTCTAGGGAGTGTACAGGGCTCTGGGGAAGGGGAGGGCAGGGTATGACTCAGCCTGCAACTCTCCCAGGACTCAGAGGAAGAGTAGATAGAACCCTGGAGGGCCAAGAGCGACAGCTAGGAACCCTCCCACAGAAGACTCGGGGGTGGTCAATGATGGACAGGGAGTGGATGGGGTGGTCTGGGGGTCCAGGCGGAAGTATGCAGGAGTAGAAGACAGGGGAACCAGGTGGTGGGGACAGAGGAGGATGTGGGGTGTGAGCACCTCATGTCCTGAGTGGGACTGAGTAGATGGGGGATGGACTGATGGGTGACCAGTGCCCCAGTGGATGCCCTGGAAGCGGCCATGGGTGGCTGCCCAGGTGAGTTATGGGTGGGTGAGCAGAGGTGGGACCTGAGGGAGGTAATGTGCGTCTAGTTAAGGTGGAAGTCAGTGCCCCGTGAACCAGGAGCAGAGGTGACTGACAGACAGCCTGAGCTGTAGGCATGCAGCGGCCGCCATGCAGACCCACGCCACACCACAGACAGCTTACAGAGCCCCGACAGGAAGCCGACTAGATACAACTGTCCACCCGCCAGCAGGGCGGAGGTCGGGGAAAGTGTCTCCTCACTGGGCACGGATTGTTATGTCAGTCCCTTTTGGATGAGGGATGCTCTTGGGAGAATATTCTCCCAGCATCTACTGCCCATCCCCCGTGGGCTTTCTGGAAGATTAAGGGGGGTACCAAGCCTGGTGGCTGGGGACGCCCATAACTGTGCCGCTCACCGGCCTGGGCCAACTCCAAACGGGTGCCGAGCACTGTGAAACGGAGACAGGACCAGAGGGCCTGTGGTTGAAGGGCATCCATCTCTGCATGTCCCGGAACAGCCTGCTTGCTGACTTAGTTGCCAACTCCTCTCCTGGGTGCCTCGGCCCCTGGGGGGACATGAAGTTAAGTGGTACTGTTAGGCCTTGACTGCCAGGAAAGCCATGTTGGTGGGGTGGGCCAGGCCACAGTCTGTAGTGTCTTGAGAGCCAGCCTGGCTGCCGCCCTGCTTAAGGGGCCATTGATGTCTGTCTGCCCTACAGAAGTGGCTGGTTCCCTGAGGCCTATGTGAAACCTTTGGAGGAGATACCAGTGAACTCCATGAACCCAGTCACGCCCATGAACTCCATGGCCCCCATGAGCCCAATGAATGAACTGCCTTCCAGGTACCTTAGTTGGTGGGGTGGGGTGGGGTGGGGCCCCAAGGGTGTTCTGGTCCCTCCCTCCCTCCAGGAGGCATCTATGAGATAATCTAATGGGTCTGGCCTCTTCGGCCTCTGGAGAGCTGTGGCCCAGATTTCCCACCTCCTAATGAAGGGTGCGGGGTGCCTCCCGTCAGGGCCCCTTCACAGTCCCTCCCTGTCCCCAGCCTCAGGCCCAGCAGGTGGGAGGGAGCACCAGGTCTGGCTGCTTTCTCTGACTCAGGTCCTACCCCCTCCGGGGCAGCCACAGCCTTGATGACCTCTTGGACAGGCCAGGCAACCCCGCAGCCTCATCAGACTACTGGGATAGCCAATCCCGCTCCCGGACCCCGAGCCGCGTCCCCAGCCGCGCCCCCAGCCCCGCACCCACACCCTTGCCCAGCAGCAGGCGGAGCAGTGTGGGCAGCATGGGGGCAGCCACCGACGTCAAGGTCAGCCCCACCTGTCCTCAGCCTGGCCCGACCTATGGAGTAGCCCAGCAAGGGAGACCTTGGCCACTCTTCGGCTGGGGATCCGGGGTGGGAGTGGCGGGGAAGGAGTGGGCTGGGGCCACGGGGTTACCAGCCCTACCTTGCAGGGGCAGCCGGCCCCAGGCCGTGGCACTGTGCAAAGCCTGGAGCTTTCTCTGAAACTGGACTTTGGGCTGCACAGTGTCCTCGGATCTGACCCTGCAAGGCCTAGACCTCCCAGTCCTGTGCTCTCTTGGGGCGAGGGGTGGGACCCCCGTCTTCCCTTCACCCCTGAACCTGCCCTCCCTTCGTGCAGAAACTTATGTCCTGGGAACAGCACCCCCCAGAGCTCTTTCCACGGTGAGTCCCAGTGGGCAGGAAGCCAGAGGGTAGCAGGTGACTTGAAACAGGCGGGCGGCGAGAAGCAGACGCTTGGCCAGCTGCCTGGCCGCTCTCCCTAGGCGCACAGACAGGGGGTCTCTGCCCCCCTCACGCCGGCCTGTTCCCCACAGGGGTACAAATCCCTTTGCCACCGTGAAGCTGCGTCCCACCGTCACCAACGACCGCTCAGCACCCCTCATCCGCTGAGGCCATGTCCTCCACCGGGGCCTGAGGTGGCCCAGCACGCTTGCCCAGGGCTCTTCCGGTCAACAGCAGCAGCCGCGGACCCCAGATGCCAGGCGCTGATACCCAGGGGACCGTCCTCAACCCTCTGCCCGCAGCCCAGGAGCTCACCGAGGGCTGGGCCTGCCACATGGAGCCGGGAGCAAGGGGGTGGTGGGGCACAGAGCGACTTGTTGCTTTGTGGGACCCCAAGTCTCTCCCCAGGACCCAGCCTCTCGCCTCCCATCTTCCCGCCTGTGCCTCCTCTTCCATCCCTGCCCCATATACATCCCTGCTTAACTTTTGTAACTGATTAAAAAAATAAAGGAAGTGGGCACAGTGAGAGCCAGGGTGTCTGATTTGGGGACAGGGTAAGGGCCTTGGAGGTGGGGATCCTCTAGGGTGAATGGAGTCTCGGATCTGCCCCCCCCCCCCGCCAGCCCCTCAGGACTCTTCTTTTGAAGTCTTTAAGGCTGTACTGAGGCTCTCACCTTCATCCCCCCATCTCCAAATGGCACCCCAAGGAATGGTGCCTGTCCCCTCAGCTGGGACACAGCTCCCTTTGTTCCAGCGGCCCTCCACCTTCTCAGAGCCAGGCTCAGGCCTGGATTAGCCTTATCCAAGGGAAGCCAGGAGCCCCTCCTGGAATGTGGCCTGGGGCTGGGGTGGGACAATGGTGTACAGAACTGACTTGGCAGCCTGGGTCTCTCCAGGGCACCACTGTGCCCCCCAGCCCCAGATTACAACCCACCTCAAGGCAGGGCTGTGTGCCAGTCAGAAGGACCCAGGAAGTAAAGGGGGGTCTCCTTGCCCCTTGTCCCACTATGTCCGCCCCGCTGGCTCATGGTCCCTTGTGCCCGACTCCCTTACTGGTAAAAGCCTCTTAGCAGGGGTGGGATGAGGGACGCTAAGCCCCAGGCCTGGGGAAGGATTGAGTCCGCAGCAGCGCGGCCACAGTAGCCAAGGCTGTTGGTGTCTGCTGGCCCCTCCCTGAAGGCCTCGGGAGATGTGAGGCTGGACCCTAAATCCAGACTCAGGTCCAGGTGAGTGTGTGGTGGGGGCTGCCAGGGGCCAGCTTCTCGTCCCTGTGTTCATAGTCATGCTGGGTGGGGGGCGGGCAGGCAAGGAAAGTCAGAACCTGGAACTGGGGGAGGGCAGAGTCCCAGGTGTCCCCGGGGAGAGGTCCTGGAGGGAGAGCCCAGGGCCTTTAGGGCTTCCCACCCTCCTCTTCGTTGGAGGGTGCAGTAGGACTTTGGAACCCCTGCCTAGGGATGGAGGGCCTAGGTTATGAACTGCTGTGGCTCGGGTCTCTCTTCCAGAGCCCCTTCCAAGGTCGCCACCTCCCCATGAGGTCCAGACCTCTCCTTCCTCCCCAAGGTTTCCAGCTGGTGTACATCAGCCATCCTACTGGTGAGGAGAACTGGAGAGGAGGCTTGTCCAAGTTACAGGGCAAACTCCTTCCAGAACTGGCGCAAGCTGGACCAAAGGCTGCTGAGACGAGGCCAGGATCCCCTGTGGTTTTAGTCATGAGTTATTCCTGGTCACTGAGAAAAGTTAGGAACAAGGTGCAGGGTCACTGCGGCTGGCATCTGCCCACTGGGTGACTGGCCCATTTGCCCACAAACCTACATGTATTCATGGCGGACACTGACAGTACCCCCGTGTGCGCATGCACGCACATGCGCGCGCGTGCACATGCACGCGCGCACACCCCCCCCCACACACACACACACCCTCTGGGTCCACAGTGGCTGCTGGGCGCTGGCACTCACTGCACCCCTTCCCCTAGGTCCCCGGAGGAGAGGAGCCCTAGTGAGGAATCCTTGAAGTCAAGTCTCCATTCACCCTTCACAGGCCTTTGCAGGAAGGAGGCAAGACTTGGGGTGACCTTCCTACCTCGCTGGCTTTATAAACCTCAAAGGGCTCAGTGGGCGGCCTGGGGCTGTTTCTCCTTGCAGGTCTCCATTGACTCCTCTACAGCACCCACCACTGCCTTTTGTCCCCCTCTTCCCCAGCAAAGGTAGAGGCAATGGGCGCTGGCGGCCCGCGACGGGGTGCAGGTCCCCCAGATGGTGGCTGGGGCTGGGTGGTACTCGGCGCCTGCTTCGTGATCACTGGCTTCGCCTATGGCTTCCCCAAGGCCGTGAGCGTCTTCTTCCGAGAGCTCAAGCAGGACTTCGGTGCAGGTTACAGCGACACAGCGTGGGTGTCCTCCATCATGCTCGCCATGCTCTACGGCACGGGTCAGCACTTCCCCCAGAGCCTCCGGGGGTCCAGCATCTGGGGTTGGGCATCTAGAGCCCAAAGAAGCCCCGTGCCGCCCCCATCCCCCACCCCGGACCCCCGGCCCTAGGAAAGAGTGGGTAGGGCACATAGATCGAAATGGAAACCTGCTCCTTTCTGCTGGCCTGGAGGGACTGGGTTCATTCCATCAACAAACCCACACTGGGCTTCGTGAAGCTGGAGAAGCAGCATTCCAGCTCCCCACAGCCCTAACGCTGGAGTTGTGAGAGGGTGGGAACCTTCAGGAGGATGGCAGTCTGGTGGGACGCGGAGATGGAGAGTGGAAGCCATCCTTCCTACTTTGGGTCTGGGTCCTCGAGGGGGTTAGGGATGGGTGGCCACGCTCCCCCCACTCCACCTTGTCTGCCCAGTCCAGCTGTGGGACTACACCTCAACCAGACATTGCCCTCTTTCATCTCTGAAGGGGCGGGAGTGGGGAGTAAATACCCCGTCAAGGTCCTTCCGACCTCAGAGGTACAAGGCTTGGCGCATTTTCTGGAGGGGAGGTTGGTCTAACCTCGACAGTGACCCTGCTCTGCCCACAGGCCCCTTGTCCAGCATCCTCGTGACGCGCTTTGGCTGTCGCCGGGTGATGCTGGCTGGTGGGCTCCTGGCGTCCGCGGGCATGATCCTGGCTTCCTTTGCCTCACGCCTCCTGGAGCTGTACCTGACAGCTGGGGTGCTCACAGGTGAGGGCACCCATGTCTCTCCCCGGCAGGGATGTGGGTGCGGGTCGGGAGTCCCTACTGCAAGTCTCTCAGTTCCCAGTTTCCCCCAAAGGGGCGGCCCTCGAGTCATCTGGCTCGGCATCCCGGGTTCGGGCTTATCCTCCGGGTCCCGGGCCAGCCTGGCCCAGCTGCTGGGGCCAGAAGGGGCACCCCAGCCAGCCGCGTCGCCTCGCCCGCAGGCCTGGGCCTGGCCCTCAACTTCCAGCCGTCGCTCATCATGCTGGGGCTCTACTTCGAGCGGCGCCGGCCCCTGGCCAACGGGCTGGCAGCGGCGGGCAGCCCGGTGTTTCTGTCCACGCTGTCGCCGCTCGGCCAGCTGCTGGGGGAGCGTTTCGGCTGGCGCGGCGGCTTCCTGCTGTTCGGTGGCCTCCTGCTGCACTGCTGTGCCTGCGGGGCGGTCATGCGGCCGCCCCCGGGGCCGCCGCCCCCACCGCGCCCAGACCCCGCCGAGGACCACCGTGCGCCCTCCGGTGGCCGGGCTCGCCGCCGCCTGCTGGACGTGGCGGTGTGCACCGACCGCGCCTTCGTGGTGTACGTGGTCACCAAGTTCCTGATGGCGCTTGGGCTCTTCGTGCCCGCCATCCTGCTGGTGAACTACGCCAAGGACGCGGGCGTGCCCGACGCCGAGGCCGCCTTCTTGTTGTCCATCGTGGGTTTCGTGGACATCGTGGCGCGGCCGGCGTGCGGTGCCCTGGCGGGTCTGGCGCGCCTGCGACCCCACGTCCCCTACCTCTTCAGCCTGGCCTTGCTGGCCAACGGGCTCACGGACCTGATCAGCGCGCGTGCGCGCACTTATGGCACCCTCGTGGCTTTCTGCATCGCCTTCGGCCTCTCCTACGGCATGGTGGGCGCGCTGCAGTTTGAGGTGCTCATGGCGACCGTGGGTGCGCCCCGCTTCCCCAGTGCGCTGGGCCTGGTCCTGCTCGTGGAGGCCGTGGCTGTGCTCATTGGACCGCCCTCTGCCGGTGCGCACCGTAGGAAGGGTGCCTAACCCTGAGGCCTGTTAGTGTAAGGGCAACCCTTTAGACAGAACTCCCAGGGAGGAGGGGAAGTCAGGCCCCTTTGCTGAAAAGCCTGGTTGGTGGACTCCTTTATGGCCAGGTAGCTCCTCCCCAAATCAGGGACCACCCCGGGGGGTGAGGATGGAAAAGCTAGAGGTCAGTCTCAAGGAGAAACACACAAATAACCGTCTAGCCAGCCGTGTTGGGCATGTCGGCCTTCTCAGTTAGCATGCATGATAACCGCGGTTAGTTAGTTAGAAGGTGTTGTGCATGAGAGGTAGAGCCGGGAGGGGGTTAGATCCGGAAGCTTAGCCTGAGTTGTGGGCCCGGATCTGCCCCTGCGGAGAGCTAACCTGGACCGAATGTGTGTGGATGCTTCAGTCCCCAGCCTGTAAGGCAGAACAGGGAACCAGCCCTGGCTAGGAGCAGAGAAGGGGTGCTGGAGAGGAGAGGTGCTGGTGACCCCCCCCCCCCGCGCATGCGCAGACTGCTAGGCCTTCTGCTCATCCTGGCATAGCTCTGCAGGTGCCGGCGAGTGCGAAGGGCTGGGGGTTGCTTGGGAAAGTGTCACCGTGCAAGCGAGGCCTGGGCTAAGATCGGAAAGGCGGAGATGGGGACACCGAGATCTTCCTGAGTTGTCTGATTATCCTGAGGCATCAGGGAGCCAGGCAACCTTAAGTGAGAGAGGCCATAGTCAGGCTTCGGGAATGCATAGCGGGAGGAAGCCTGGATGGAGCCCAGGCTGCAGCAGAGGTGGAGTAAGCTACCACCTTTCCTTCTGAGCCAGCCACATGGCAGTGTTCTGAGCAAGCTCTGTCTGCCTGCTTCACCCAATAAGAAAGGCAAAGCCCCCGAGCCAGTGTGTGGGTACCCTCTCTCAAGCCCGCCACCCAAAAAGCCTCAAAGCTGACCCACCTGGAAGCCCAAGTGGATCTAATAGGGAAAGAAGGCAGACCCGGCGAGAAAGTGAAGGGCACTCCAAAGCTGAGTATAGCCAGAGACAGGGAAGGGACAGAGACATTTAGATAGGGTGAAGTGATGGTCATCAGGAAACTTCCTGAAGGCCACAGCCTGGTGTGGACACAGGAACACTCTAGAGTGAAGCCCATGGAAGCAAGCACAGTGGAGACTAGGATGTAACTGTGGCAGATCACATACTTAGCATGTGTGACGCCCTGGGTTCAGTCGCCCACAATACAACTAGAGATTTCCCCACACATGGAAATACTGTGCCCAGGAAAGGGACCTGGGCAATGGAAGGAAATGAGCCCTCTTTCCTGGAGCACAGGCAGAGCCCACCCCCCAGCCTGTGCTGAGGCACCTCACCAGCTCGGTTCGGATGGCTGGTAGCTCCTGATGAGGATGCTGAGCCAAATCCATATAGAGCAGATTATGTAGAGAGAGTTGGGGAGTCCTCAGTCCTAGCCCCCTGAGCTGGGTCCAGCCCCACTGGACCCTAACACCCAAAAGTGGGCTTGCACTGATGTGGAGGGGGGACCCTGTACGTTATAAAAACAGTGTCCTCAGAAGCATTAGACTGAGGTTCAGGGAGAGGACGTGAATTTGGGGTCTCAAAAGCAAGGGTTCATGTGGAGTTTTGCATTTATAAACAAAGAACATGTGTCACCAGTAAGCCCCATCTAATTAGTGTAGAGGGAACCCTGACAGGTTGTGACACCCCCACCCCCAGGCCGCCTGGTGGATGCCCTGAAGAACTATGAGATCATCTTCTACCTTGCTGGCTCTGAGGTGGCCTTGGCCGGAGTCTTCATGGCAGTGGTCACCTACTGCTGCCTGCGCGGTAAGGACGCCCCATCAGGCCCAGCTGCTGCAGGAGGAACCAGTGACACCGAGGATGTGGAGGCTGAGAGGGACTCGGAGCCAATGCCTGCCAGCACCGAGGAGCCTGGCAGCCTTGAGACTCTGGAGGTGCTGAGACCCCGGGCTGGGTCCCCAGGACCAGAACCAGAGGTGGAGGCAGTGCCTGGGCTGGGTCATGAGTCTGTGTAGACATCAGGCAGGTGGCCAGCAGGCATGAAAACATGGCTTTCCCTTTGAGGGCCTGGTACATGGGGAGGCAGCCTGGGGTGACCCCTTGGGTACCCCATCGGCCAGGCCGTTCCCAGTGAAGCTGTTGTGAACTGATGAGCACAAGCTGATAAAAAGCCTACTGAAAGATACATTCTGCTCCTGTACCTCTGCCAGGGCTCGGGCCACCTGAGCTGGGGAGGGCCAGGGAGAGTCGGAAGGATCCCCATGAAGTCCTCTGAGCCGTTGGAGCTCAGCAGGAACAGTGGGGGGCACCCCAGCTAGAGACACTGGGGGCTGGTGGGGATGCTGTATGCTGAAGCACATTTGGCCGCCATCTGCACAGAAGCACAAGGTCCAAGGTCAGGGTCTTCTTCACATGTAGGCTTCAGTCAGTTCCAAAGAGCATGGGAGCCAGGTGGTCAGGAGCAAAACCCAGAGGCCCTCGAGGTGTGCATGTCCCCTCACTGCCCTGAGCTGCCACCCCTCTTGAGGGTACATTCTAGTGACCCGTCACTTGTGGTCAGAACCCTGTTCCTGAGGAGACTGTTGTGGCTTTGTGAGCACCTGCTCTCTACCACAGGGACTTGTGGGCCATGACCTCTCTCAACCAGAGATTCTATCCAGCCACCCAAGTGCTAGGACGGCCCATGTCCTCCTACACCCAACGCTTGCACTTTGACCTGTGACTGACGACCTGCCTGTCTCACTCCCAACTCTAGCTAGAGCTCAGCAGAGTCCCTCCCACAAATGGCCCCTTCTCACCTACTGGCCCCAGCTGTGCCTCATTTTCCATCCAAGGTTTGGGGAACCCAGGCAATGCTCGGTTGACTTACATTCCTGTGTGGCTCTCAGACTCCTGATGCGACAGCATTTTATCTAAGCATTTACCTAAGAGTGCTTACTTGGCCAAGCAGTAGTCTAAGCCCTTCATGAATGTTGGTGTATTGATTCTCCTAACAACCCAATGAGGTAGAATTTATCCACACTTCAGACAGGGCAACATGCACAGGGAGGGCAGAAATCAGCCCAGGGTTACAGAGGCCATTATTGGATCCCGAGCTGTAGTTTTTTGTTTTGTTTTGTTTGAGACAGGGTTCTCTGTGTAGCCCTGGCTGTCCTGGAACTCTGTAGACCAGGCTGGCCTTGAACTCACAGAGATCCACCTGCTTCTACCTCTCAAGTGCTGGGATTAAAGACATGAACCACCATGCCCGGCTTCAAGCTGTAGGTTTTGTGCCCTTGACCATCAAAACTGGATGTCTCTTCAGAGATGCAGTGTGGCCAGACGGCTCTGTTGGGTCCCATGTGGATGGATGGTGACAGGCTATCTCCCTCCAGCTCCAGCTCCAGCCTGAGAATCCCACCTGAGTTTCTGCAGGACAGCAGAGCTCAAAGCTACCAAGCAAAAGTGTTTTTCCATTTTGGACCCTGCCTACCACCTTGCACACTCCTTGCCTGCTCTGCTCCCCAGATGGCCATATCCTGTCCTAAAGGGCCTTCAGAGTAAAAGCTTTGCAGGTGTGTACCACACCCAGCCCGGTAGGGAGCAGACAGACTACTGCCTACGGGTGGCAGCATCTCCCTAGCGCCCCCTTGGCCCTGAACTGAACAGGCGCTCCTGGAGTAGTCTTCCTAGCCTTGCATCACCCTGACCAGTACCTCTTCTGCCCCCTTGCCCAAACAACGGTTTATTTCACAGCCAGAAACACTGAAGGGTTGAAGGGAGAATGCTCAATGATGCCAGAAGCAGTGGGAGCAGGTGACAGTCTAGATCAGCGCCCAGTGTTCCCACGTGTACTCATGAGCAAGATGCCACCCTGCGCCTCTCACCCCAGAGGCTATGGGAGAAAACTGCTCCTGCGGGTGTTGCGACATGAGCAGTGGACACAGAGAACTGCCTAAGCCTTTGTCCCACCCTCCCTCACGACCCAGGAAGCAGCTGAGATCTGGTTGCAGGGGAGGGTCTGAGCCATTGCAAGGAGCCCATCCGTTCTGTCTGGGTTTCTGTTTATTCAATACAGGCCCAGCATCCAGCCCTTGAGGCTAAGTCAGGAACAAATAAATATAGGCTGCTGAGGTGTGCACACGGACTCAGGGCCAGCCTGGTACGCTGGCCCCAGCCTCGGATGTCCACCCAGCTCCCGTTCCCTGCAGACTTGGCACCACCGAGGTACTCATGGGGACAGGTCCTGCGCTCTGCCTGCTCCAGCCCCTCCTCTTTTCTGTCCAAGGCCCAGCTCTCCCTCGCTGGGAGGTGGGAAGGAAGGATGGGGGCCAGAGTCCAGGTCCCAGGCTGCAGCCCGGGTTCACTGTGCGAGGACAGAGGAGCAGGGAGGCAGGCGCCGAGCCAGCAGGCCTTTATGCGCCACCACATGCCTCCGCTGCCCTACAGCGGCCCCGCCCCGCCCCGCTGCGGTCCTCCCCACTGCCCTGCCCCAGGTCCACTTGAGGGCACTCAGGAGTCACACCAGCTTCCGCCCTTGTCCATGGGCCCAGTGGCCCCACGTGCATTCTTGGACACTTCCCTAGCTGCCCCGTCCTCCTCCTCCTCGTCCTCATCCTCTCCATCAGTGAAGCCACTCTGGTTAGGGCCGTAGGCTAGAGTGGTGTGTGCCAGGTCCACCTCGATGGGGAAGACGTCGGCGTCCCGCAGCACCGCATAGCAGTCATTGTAGTACTTGGACATGGTGGACACGAAGCGCTGCAGCTGGAACACGATGTCCTGGACTGGGGCAGGAGGTGAGCAGACAGGCCCAGTGGCTACAGCTGCCTCCTCCTAGGGAAGACCTGGAGCTGGCCTGTTCTTCCTGCTGGGACACTTCCTGGGCCCCAGGCCTCAGGAAGGGTGGCACAGCCCAAGGCTGCCTGGCCCTGCCTAGTTGGCCACCTAGTCCTCCAAACTCCTAGCTCAGGAAACAGAGAAGGCAGCCTGAGTGAGTGATCATGGGCCCCAACCCAGCCAGGTTCTGAGTGGACTCCTACCAGGGCCTGGTCCTGAGGCCTCGGGGAGACTACCCTCTCTAGGCCTCATTTCTGATCTAGGGAGAGAACGGCACCACCCTGGGGCTCAGCGCCAGGAGAGGACCGAGTCAGGGGGTGCACAGGCTCGAGATTCCCTCACCGTGTTTCTGGTCCAGCAGCTCCATCTTCTCTAGCACATCCTTGCGCATCTGCGAGAAGCGGGCCCGAGCCTCTTGGCGGCAGCGCAGGATCAGGCGGTACTCATAGTTGCCTGTGCTCACTCGGTAGAGGGGTTCTCCTAGAGCCTGGGGCAGGCAAGCTTGTCAGCTCTCTTGGGTGGACCTGGGCCTCCCGGGGACAGATGGGGCTGGAAGGCTGCAGGGCTGGCCCAGCTCACAGCTCTACCACAATGGGCTTCCAGACGCCAGTGACGGACAGAAGCTCAAAACAGTAACTTTGGAGGGAGAAAAATCAGCCACAGAAACACGAATACAGCTCACATGAAATAGATGAATACTGGTTAAAAGAGGGACCCTGACTGCAAACAAATCACAAATCAGAAACAACAACAACAACAAACAACAACCAGGCGTGGAGAGCGGCTCAGTGGGTAAGAACACTCACTGCTCTCGCAGAGACCCGGGTTCAGTTCCCGGCCCCACACGATCGCTCACAACTGTGTAATTTTAGATCCAACACCCCCTTATGACCTCCACAGGCACCAGCCATGCGAACGGACACACACACACACACACACACACACACACACACACACACACACACACGCAAAACACATATATATATATATATATAAAAGTAAAAAACACCAACTTTTTTTTTTTTTTTAAATCAAAGCATAGGTCAGAAGTGAAATCAGTCAGCTTTTTCTTAGAGGAGCCTCACAACCTTGGGGCACCTGGCCTAGAGGAGTCACTTCATGGCACACTAGCTGGTACTCCAAGCCAGAGGAGCTGGTAGAATGGGCGGACAGCCCCAAACTCCAGCAATTAAGACCCCAGGGTGCCTGACACCACCCAGAACCTCTGGCAGACCCAGGGCCTTCTAAAGAGGAAGTGTGGGCACCCCACGCCTTCCCACTACCAGCCGGGGCCCCTTCGGTACTCACAATGCAGCTGTATTCCTCGTCATCCATCTCCTTCACCTTTAGACAGTAGGACTGGATGGGATGGGATGGGATGGGTGAGGCCAGGAAGTCAGTAGCCAAACTTCCTGGACTCCCACCCTCATGATTCTAGCCCCACCTGTCATGCCTCCCTATCCCTCAGGTCACCTGGGAACCTGGACACACCAAGAGAGCAGTGACCACATAGGCCACCTAGCCCTGGACCACCCGGGAAAGGCTGGAAGCCGACATGGACAGAGGCCCAGGAAAGGGGCAGCAGAGCGATGAGGCACTCCTCTGGGAGGGTGTCAAGGCCTGAAGGCTGGAGACATCCAAAAGGGACCAAATTCAAGTCTTAGGAGATGCTCTGGGGACTGGAGGGTGTGGCTCCGTGGTACAGCACTTGCCTAGCATGCATAAGGCCTGGGGTTCTATCTCCAGAATAGCAAAGATCCCAAACCAAAACCAAAAGGTCCTGCGTGTGGTGGTACTGCTGGTGGAGCAAAATAGCTCGGGGCTCCTTGAAGACATGCTGCGCACAAGCCTAGTTAAGGCCCTGAGAGGTGAGCAGCAAGAAACCTGAACACTTAACAGATCACTGTCTGGCTTCTTTGACAATCAGATTATCATTTAGGACTCTGAAGGTCCTTGGAAGAATCCTAGACCTAGTCTGAGCTGCTGCTAAAGGTGACAAGTCCCAGGAACAGCAATGACAGAGAATGAGGACTCTCCTGCTCACCAGGCTCTGGGTAACTCAGCGCTCCTTGGAATAGGAGGAATGCAGTGTGTAGGAATGCAGTCTAGGCTGCTTCTGATTAGTCAGGCTTTAATCCCATACTCCTGACTCAACAGAGTGGGTCTGGCCCCACCCTGCCTGCTTGCCTAGGCTGGCCTCAGGGTGGGCTCACCCCAGCTGGCCACACACTGCAGACCACCCAACTCACCAAGTACTCGAACTTCACATCCAGGTATTTCTTGATGGTGAGGCGCGTATCAGGGATGGCTTTGTTGAGGTACGTGTTCAAGTCTGTCAGCATCTAAGAGGT